CGTATAAACAAGCAGTTCTTTAAATTCTACTGTTTTATTGAAATATAATATCAAAAGTAAGTTTTTAATATCAGTTTCAATTGTATACCTTTTTATTTTAATTACGTAAAATTCTCCGGATGTTTATACATTGTATATTAAATAGACATTAAACTTAAAGATTGCCATAAAATTTATTATGGTTATAGGTTAGATTAGCATGTAATAATATGTTAATGAGAGGTATCGCTAATAGGGAACAAAGAAAGAAGAGTACAGAAAAAGCCGAATGGTATAACAAAAGTAACAAGATTTATTGTTATTTATTACTTTTGTTCCCATTCGGCTTTTTCTTTGCTCTTCTTTCTTTGCTTTACTATAGTATACGTATGTTGCTTTAATATGGAATTAATGTTTTTAGAATGTCAAACATTCATAAAAGAAACACATATCGTGGGCGAGTTTCTGCGAAAATATTATACATAAAATAGCTATAGAAAAAATAAAAATAAATACAAAAATAATATAATAATAACAGAATAAATAAAAATCCTTCTAAAAGTATCTCTTCTATTAATTTATTTTTAAAGTTTTATTTTTAAAGTTAAACAGGATGTTACAGCTATCTCTATCCCATTTCATCGCGTGTTACTTTTGTCCCTAAAAGTAGGAATAAAAATAACAAATGACATATCTTTAAAAGATTTATTTGAAAAAGTTGATGATAATATGTTACTAGTTTTTCAATTAGATTATATTGTCTAATAACTCTCTCTCTCTAGGTTTACTGTCGTGTAGGATTCGTTTAGAAATTCTATATGTAACTTAGAAGTTATAAAATCAAAAAGCAAATAGTTACATTCGTTCCTAATCTCTCTCAGTTTATAGCGTGTGAACCTGAAAAGTGAACGCACCTTTCGCGTTTCAATACTGAAAAATCATTTCGACGCGCAGTTTAAAGGATTACATATATAATATACAAATTTACATAATATTATACAAACACTTAAGATCCAGCCAGATCGTTAAAGGCATTTATTTCTGATTGGTTGTTTTCACATGTATGGTCCTATGAGATTTAGTATTATTAATTATAATGTTACATATTTTAAAATATGTGGTTCCTAAAAAAAACTTCTTTAAAAAATATATATATATTTGCCCAAAGTCACCCGGCGTCGTCCGGCGTCGCCCAGAGTCGCCCAGCGTTGTTGTCGTTGTCGTTTACACGGTTTGATTTAAGGAGCGTTTATATTGGTCGTAACCGTAAACCGTATGCCGTAATCTGTAAAAATTGACCAATCACCTTCGAGTATTCCCTTCTTACTGCCGAATGAGAGGGGAATACTTGACTGTGTTTAATCAATTCTTACAGATTACGGCATACGGCATACGGTTACGGCCAATATAAATGCTCCCTTACATCGAAGTTATAACATCGATGTTATGAAACTGACCAATCACAGTCATTCCATTCTTCGGAGGAATAGCTATATGATTGGCTAATTTTTCATAACATCGATGTTATAACTTATAGGCGTAAATCAAGTCGTGTAAACGTAATAGTTACCTAGCGTGGGTACATCTTCATTTTCGAAGTTATAACATCGATGTTATGAAACTGACCAATCACAGTCATTCCATTCTTCAGAGGAATAGCTATATGATTGGCTAATTTTTCATAACACCGATGTTATAACTTATAGGCGTAAATCGAGTCGTGTAACGTAATCATAGTTACCTAGCGTGGGTACATCTTCATTTCCTATATATAGATTTCTCAGTAACTTCTTCCAGGGTATGAATATGGAGTAAAAGATCATAACATCTATTTTTTAATGAGTTTCGGAATGCAGCTTATTTACTAAGCGATTGGTTCTTATTTATGGATCCATAAGTAAGTAAGCAATCCCTCGGTGCTGCATTCAGAAATCCATCGAAAAATGTTGCAATCTTTGAGTCAATGAGTATACAAACAAATTTATCACAAATATTATGTTTTACTATTTGCAAAATATTTTACGTTTACAAACGTTGTCTGTACATTAAAAATATAGAAGTGTTCCAGTTTGATAGAAGCAAATTTGCCACGGGACTTTTCAATGTTTACGGTCATTAATTTTCATGCGATTTTATTCTCTCAATCGCTCTGAATTGTTTTCATCTATAAATCGTGATCAAAAAATTTTACCTAGAATAGAAAATTACTTTAAACTTTCAGTGCCTGGCACGTTTTTAAATATACAATAAAATTAACTAGCGTGTCCTGTCTAGTAGTATTTTACTCGGTTTTACAGACTGCAAACATCCATTCACTAAAATGTGAAAATGGATACTGGCCAAGTCGTTTCAACGTAAAATATTTTCTTGCTGAGATACGTCTTCTGATCGACTCCATAGGACATTTCTCTACGGTATATCCTTTTTGCGAGCAAATATCACATTGGTTTATGGTGGACAGAAAGATGGAGTACAAGCTATTGAACTAGAGTAGTAACATATGGAAAAATAGTTTAGAAATGCATATATATTTTTAATTTTTTATATTATTCTCTGTTATATATTATTACATCTCTATGCGTTTTCTACATTAAAATACGTAAAAATATACGTAAAGTTGATTTACATAATGTCGCCGTATTTCTGATGCATATACTTTTCGATTTATAAATATCAAAATGTTTTATGCATCGCGGTACTCTTTATTCGACACATATTTTTTTCTCTGTCGTATGCTGGAGCATGACAAAGGGATAAAAAATATGTGATTATCAAGGGGATTTAATCATCTTTGGAGCCCACGATTAATTCCGGTCACGAGCCCTACAATCATCTCGCCGTACAGTTGTCGGATTATTCTGGCTGACGAGGCTTCTTGAGGTTTTCAGGAGGTCGGATGGAAATACGTATACGATAGTTACCGCACGTTATTGACGTGTCATAGTTACTGACCGTCGCGCGCATACGTGTATGTATATTTGTCGCAGTTACTGGTCGTTGCAAATTTCAGTTATTGTTAGTTATAATTAAGCATCCGGCACGTACTAATACTTGTTGACATTGAGTGATTCAGTGACGTCACAAATTTTATAATGCTTAATTTGGCATAGATGAGGATGCATTTCCCACATCTCGCACGAAATGTTCGTAATTAATGGCAAAGCTGGGAATATTCATTGTTTAAATTTTTCTAAGTCGATATCGCACGATAAAGTGACTGTATTAACGCAAAAGTGTGAATTTTGCGGTAAAATAATTAATTCGAAGATGTTTAGAATATGCAGAGAAGTGCGAACTCTGCAGAAATAAAAGTCTAACGATTAGAAATATGAGACATACATATAAGTTATTGGTAGAAATAACAAAAGGGTGCATTTACAGATATAGTGATTTTTTTTACGACGAATCTATTTGTAAAAATATCAGACACGTAAAAAATGTATATTGTAATAAAATTATTATACCTTACCAAAATATTTAGTAGACATAATATCTATTATGTAAGTATAATATCTATTTCAATAGAGGACTATTTTGTATAATATAATAAATCTAGCAGAAACTATTTTTATAAAAACAGCATCTGGAAATTTGACCGTATTTTTGTAAAAATATGAAGGTTTTATTTGCATATAAATCTGCAAGTCATATGCGGGGAGAAATAAGGAAGTTGTACTTTCAAAATTATATGCATTACATGCACTATGGTAACTATTATAATATGACCGCGATAAAATTTGTAAGTATTGGAATATTATTTTATGTCAGCAGGAAATAAAAGGAAAAAGATTAAGTAAATCTCGACTCACGCTTCATTTATTATTTATCACTTTTAAAAAATATATACGTTCTTACAAAGGGCATAAGTACTAAATCGCGCAAAATATTTCAAGCACCTAGAACATACTTACATCCTTTGTTTGCAGGGTTAATGTTTTCAAATAACTACGTATGCAGAATTACGATACGAGCAATTAATGTAATAACGAGCACTATGTGGATCGAGGAACGAGCAGTAGTTACTGTTTGTATTCTACGGTCTACGGATGCGTATCAGTAGTTGCGGATCACTATGTTGGACAGTAGTTTCTAACCGTTATGAACGGACAGTCATTACTGTTCATTATATATGGACAATAGTCACAGACTGTTATGACTAACAATTGCGACAGGTGCGTTGGCAATCTGTATTCCAATTACTGCATCATATAAAAACTGCAGTAGTAAAACACTCAATTTTATCATCTAGAAAAGCGAATAGATGTGATGAATATAACCACCGATGTTCTAAAAATAATACACAAGATTTTTTAATGATCATAACACACATATTTTTTTGCACGTTCGACTTTTATACGATCTCTTTCGCTTTATTACATTGAATTTTGAGCATGTTCTTTGAACAAATAGGAGTTAATTTTTTATCAATATGCATATATAAATTCAATATAAATGAACTCTGTATACGTAGTTTTAAAGTTCTTAAATTATATCATTTTTTATTCTTGAAATTATGAAAATATTTTGTTTTACGCGATATTAAATTCAATACTTTCTTTTATGTTTGAAATAGTTAATACAGATGTTAAAATTCCATATTAAGATTATAAAGGTGAAAAAATCATTTATGCAATCTGTGATAAAAATAAGATTTAAGTAAGAATTTTATTTGATTATCCAAAAAGATACACTGAATAAAAATTTACTGAATTTTATTAAATATTTGTTTGAATAGTATTAACGAAATATTTACTAAATGTAAACATATATTTATTTAATTTTAGTATATATTTTTATTTTTAATAAATTTATTTACTGTAAGTAAATAAATTTTGCGCGCGCGCGTGTGTGTGTGTGTGTGTTAGTACTATTCAAACAAAGATTTAATAAAATTTAGTAAATGTTTTTTTCAGTATACATAGAAAACGATATTATTAAAAGAGTAGCCTCTTCTCTACTTTCGTACATATGTTTCAAAGATATTAAATCACATTTTTATAAATTAATCTTTTTGTTTGCAGGTGTCGTGGATCAAGCGAAAGAACTTATTATTACACGAACTACTGACCGTAGGACTAACGACATACGCCAATGATGAACGGTTTCAGGCAATTCATTTCCACCACAGCGAAGATTGGACGCTTCAAATAAAATACGTCCAACCGAGGGATGCCGGATTGTATGAATGCCAAGTGTCCACCCATCCGCCCACGAATATATTTCTGCTCCTTGACGTCGTCGGTAAGCAAAAACTTTTATTACAAAATTATATACTCATATATTTATAACTTTTAATGAGATGGTTCGCTACATCCTACCTTTTATGATATTCTATAAAATATTATATAACATTTTTGTATAATTCGATATTTATGTTCAGTATGTGGATTATGCATGTAGCTCAAAATTAATTTTAATTTTATTCATATTACACTTTTGTACATGAACGTATATATAAAGTAACTAGGTAGGCTATCTTGATACCTTATTATTTATGAGAGAATAAGCTGTGCTTTTCCCTATTTCAATTATTTCTTAATTTTATGTTTTTGTACATGGCAAAAGACTTGGAGGAACGAGTAATAAATTTTGAATCTGGTAATAAACGAATTATATTTAGATAAATTACTCTTTTTTTTTAAAGAAGTTTTTAAAAAATAAAACTATTCAGCTTGTGTGTTTACTTTTTGGAATTCTCAATGTCATAATCGTAAAAACTATGTCAACTGATGCAAAATTATTCCTTTCAGTAATAAAATCTAAGTAACATTTGAAATTTCGTTTTTCAATATTCTTTTACACGTTTCGGTTTCATAATCTTTATGTATATTTTTAAGGAGATTTCATATAATCATCTGTTTTACCTGTTCAATAGGGCTTACACATATACAATTTATGTTATCAACGTTACTTATATATATATATATATATATACTATTACGTCGCATGTACACATGTACATAAATTTTCGTTGAATGATATTATACATAAAATTAGATATCTAAGTCTAATTCTAAAAACTCTATGTTATATTTCTTCATATAATCTATTATAATTTTTAGCCTCCAGTTTTGTAAGTACAGAAGTTTTATATAAGCAAATATTGTGACTTGACAGTAAGTTTAAAACGCCTAAAATAACTTAAATGTAAATTTACTTATAAAATAAATATTTCAAATTTGTAACGTTTGCTCAAATATTAACACCTATTAGGTGTTACAAAGCAATGTTGATCGAATTTTAAATTTCCATTACCTAGTTAAATGTAGCATTATTAATACAGTTATAAACATAAAACTGTGAAAACCAATTTAATTTATTATATATTTTCAATAATATTCTATTAAATTTTGAGAATTAATATTTTTATTTATATTTAATTGCTCTCTTTTTTTTGTTAAATTGATTATTATTTTAATGAAGCATGTCAGATGAGCTATTAATTTAAATTGTTTTGCAAATTAAAAGAATTTCGTAATAGCAGTACATTTTGTCGTCTTGTAATTGCTAAAAGTATTATGCTTCTGAAGTATGCATATAACAATAATTTTGAATCTCTCTTAATTTTTAAGAACGCACAATTTTATGAAGAAAATTGAAATAAGTTTGCCGAAATGCCGAAATATATTGGCGGGCAAGTGAATGAAAAAAATCCAATTGAGGTACTAAGAATGAGAACTCAGAAGGAAAGTTGAATTTGATGAAGGCGGCGAGTCGGAAAGAATATGGTATAACTTTAGAATCAATATAATCGTGATATTGTCTTTGAAATGAAGATAGTTTTAAATTCGGCCTTAATAAATTCTCATCAAAATACAATCGGAGTGAGAAACGAGATGCGTGCTCGCGTTGGTTTTTGCCCATTTGTTATGATTCTGTGCATATTTCGTTCTTAATAAGATCATCTCAGCGCTTTTCTCTTGACAAAGCTCCCTCAAACTTTAATCATTTAGTAATAGCATCATCTCTAAGTTCACAATAACTGCGCGATATTATGTTTCGTGGCACTTTATAAGCTGCCCAATTCCCAATACGTAACATCTCGAATTTATACGGAATCTCAGTTTCCCATTTAATTATGGACAGCGTGTAATACGCGGCCAATAAGTCACGAATAATACCCTCGAAATACATCATCGTGCCATGTCGCGCCGCGTCGCGAAGCGACATGTCCTTCTTATTGAACAACGTAACGTTTTTCACGGAAGACTTTAAATTATTAACTCTCAACGGGCCGATAATGTTTCGCATGTGATATAGTCTGTGCCACATCCAGCGATATCTATGTCGGTTTTATGCTTTTATGCGTGCCACGATGCAATAGCAACGCCATTGTGCCGCATGCATTAATGATCTGCGTTGGGACTTTGTTACGTATCACGTGAAAAACGACGGCATAGTCATATTTGAGACCGAATACAGAAATAATAGAGCTGACGAATTCATTAAATACTTTTCCGACGTAACTATTATGAATTTTTAATTAACGTAAAACGCAAATTAGTTTTATCCGAGAGAACTCACAATTAAACCTGTTTATGTTCTTGTAAGATAAATACGCGAATATAAATTTAAAATTATTAATATCAATTTTACTAAAAAAATTTGTCCTTTTCCATATCAATTTTTCTTTTAAAAAACAATATGTATTGTATACAAGTATCATTTTATGTAAATATAAAATGATAAATATATATTAATGCAGACACAAAAGTTTGTTTGAATAAAAAAATATTTTTTTTTAATTTAACGAATACAAACATATAGACATGCAACCGATTAATTTTTTTATTATTAAATAAGGATTTTTTTATCATTGAATGAAGAGGATTTTATTTTCGCAAAAAGCGAAATTAATTTCGATTGAGAATTTTGTTAAAGTACACAAAATTCAATTGGACAATGTTAAAAAAATATATATAGAGTATAATTGTATTATCGCATATTTGTATGTTTACGTATATTGATTCTTTATAATTTTCAAATAACTTTTAATAAAATATTTAATATTTCATTATTTATAAAAATAAATTATTTATTATTTTAGTAAAAAACAATAGCGCTAAAGAAACGAATTTTTAAATCAATTTGTTTTTAGTTGTCAATTATTGCGAAGAATATATATATATATATTAATAAGGCTTTGGTATATTAATTCGCACGGAATGCTATAGAGATCGACTGCGAGTTCGACTCCCGACCGAGGTAACATTTTTCGCAATAAGAATTAATTATTTACAGATTCTAATATGTCAATCAACATTATTATAAGATGCGAAAAAGCATAAAATTATTAAATTGATAGTCAATTTAACTTGTGATATTAAATAAATTGTAGTTGTATATAGTTTTTATTTCATATATTTTTGTATATTAGAAAATAATTTCAAATTTTAGTTTTTAATTTTTCAAATACAAGTTGAGTGATATCACAAAAAGTGAGTATCCATCACGTTAACATATTTTGTGTTATGTACAGTTGTTTCATGAAAATCAATCTTTTGCTACTACGGTCGGAAGTAAAAGAACTGAACAATAAGAGAGAAAAATTCACCCGCAGCAGATCCATCTCGAATTTTTGAGAAACGACATGGGGAACCTTTGTCAGGACAAAGTCTGGAGGTGGCTTGCGTAAATGCTGAGTAAAGGCTGTCAAAAAATCAGACAAGCATCGGACAAGGATATACGCTCTAGTGATTTGAAATTGCAATAGCTCCCAGGAATCGATGCCCATTCACTCTGGGGAGCCCTCAGACCGCGCGCAAACGTTTCGAATCACATCTCGACTATCATTTGCGGCCGTGACAGTAGTAAAAGCGTATCTGGACTGGCTGGTGCGGGTGTTGGCGGCGAGTACCCCTCACACATCTGATCCTCACACGCCCAGCGCGCGGCGTGTCAGGTCGCGTCGAGTGAAAGGATGAAACGCATCTGAGCGTGAGCGGACTTTAAATTCCCGGAGCCCCTCATACGAGATACCGCAAAATGTGAGTCGTCCCAACAGTATTTTTCAAAGCCAGGATCACAAATTTCTTCAAAATTCTCCTATCTCACTAAAATTCAGTTTATGTTTGTTTAAAATTTCGACAATATTCTGGTATTGTTATTATTATTCAAAGTCACGGGGAATAAGAATTGTAATAACTAATGCGATTGGATGTGAAATAATAATTTGTACGTCGGTGAGATTGAATGAAAGATTTACATCTGAAAGTGAAAGATTCATAAAATATTATTCTTGTGCTACAGAGTGCAACGTTAGAGGAGGACTCATCGTTTGTGGTACACGTGAATTTAAAAAATTCCACTCTTTTTTTATTTATTGCTGCACATAAGAATAATAGATAAGAAGAGTTATGTGCCATTTTCTATGTGATATGTCAATCATTTATTTATAAAAATGGAGGCAGAACTAGCATTTTCAAAAATTAATAGCTTGAAATGTTCGACATCTAATACGAAGTATTATCTAATACAAAGTGTTAAATATCGAACCTAACGCAAAAATAGATAACTAACGGCAAATGCAAATTTTTTCCAAAATATACAGCTGTCAAAGTATCAAGCTCATATCACGTGTTTGTAATCACTTTGAAACGTTACATTCAAATCGTGAATTTATCAATGCAACATTTCTGTTTGGTTTAAATAGTTTGAGAGCTCTGTGTCATACGCTATTCAGTGCTATCGACTTACAAATCAATATAGGCAGTTCAGAGGAAAGAATGAACGGTTTCAATTTACGATGAAACCCGTTAAAATTCCATACAAGCACAACAATTGATAACGGAAAGATATTAAAAAAAAGATTATCCTTTCGCATGATTGATTCCATTCTCGATTGATTAGCGATACATGATGATAATCTGTGACAGTATTATCGATATACCTGTACATACAATTTTCAATCTCCGTTAATGTGTTATTCTTTTCATTTAAATAGCTTTATTCAATTCAATTAAAATAAAAAACTTGTAAACGATAATAGAATGTATTAAATTTTTATGACTAGCGTAAATGAATATCGAATATCGATCGTTTATATCATATTAATAATCTCCTCAAAGTAATTGTTTCAGAAAATATATTACACTGAATGATAAAGTAATTTCTATGAATAGCAATATTGATTATACAGTGACAATTATTCTATGAAAAAAAGTGCTCTGTGGGGCATACAGGTCCATGGAACATCGCCTAATTGAATACTTAATTAATAGACAATTTGCTCAATGGGGTAAATTGATCGAGAAATTAATTACCTCGAGAGAGTTGCTTATCGGATAATTAATCACTATAGTACATGCATTTCGTTAACTTACGCTATCTAACGGAGAGATTTGTAAAATTTTTAATTTCTTGAATATTTTCGATAATAAGTAACAGATATAGGTTTCTTTATTATGTATGTTTAACATTCACTATTAAAATAAGGAAACCAACATTTTTGTTCCCATAAAAAAATGAGTATCAAAACTGTTATCCTTATGACTGATATCCAAGTATCATATATGCAATTGATGCTCAGTTAATGGAAACAGCAATGTGTGAATCTGCTGCTCTATATGAAAGGTTAATTATGCAGTCGGACTACTTTCATACAAATACTGTTTATTACAACATCTATATGTACCCGTATTAATTATAATTTTGATATTATTGGATAAAACATCCTATTATATTGTTTCCGATAAATCACCTCACTATGGCAATTGCATCAATTGCATATTATACAAATCTCATAGATCAAACATCATTGGGGCTTTACTCGTCAGAGAAATATTCTATTTTAGCTATTAACAAATTATGATTATTCATTGTCAGTTATAATGATTGTCAAATTACGATAAGGATATTTGTGGACAGCTGTATTAAAAAATTATTATAAAACAAAGGTGATGCAACTAATTGTAATATAGCTGATAAAAATTTTATAGAAGAATAGATGAAAGTTCTTATTGTTTGTTTATATTTTTTGCTTCAGCATAGTTCATTAAAATGGATATATTTAAGGTTTGTTAAAAAATTATCCTTTTTACAAAAAGGTAAAAAAGGTACCAAGTGTATGTACGCGCTTGTATGTGTGAACTCTTGAAGAAAAAAATGACGGTAATTATACCGAATAGGAGACAATTTTTCACATTTTTTGTATGAAACTTAGAATATTTCAGAATTTACATATCTGATTAAGGCCACAGTACAGACTTTTGCATAACATATAGCGCATAGTACATAAGCGAATCAACCAATCAAAAACCTTTCTTTCCTTTTATTTCACGGAAAAGAGAAACTTTGGTTTATTTTCTTATGGACTATGCATTATGCGTTATGCAAAAGACTGTGCTGCGGTCTTTACGATAATGATATATTTTCACGAAGCGATGCCACGAATGACAGCGATTTAGCTCTCTATCGATATATCGATATAATGCAAGTGAAACTGCAGGTAAGTAGTGCCGCAACGCAGGCGAGTGCCATCTGTTGTTTAAAATGTGAAACAGACAATATTTCCGAGAGCGATGATGATGATGACGTATCTTAATGTGAAATTTTGACATTTCGAATTTCACATCGCGATATCTCCGTTCATAGAAAATAAAAACATTTTTATTATATAATTTAAACCCAAGTTGTCGATTGAGACTACTCAGAAGTTGATCGATTTAGGTCCAGTTCCACAACTCACGGTTAACTCTTAACTGAGGTTCAACTTGTTTCTTATCTCTTTCCAATTCAAGAATTGGAAAGAGACAATGAATAAATTGAACCTCGGTTAAGGTTTAATCGTGAATTGTGGAACTGGGCCTCAGTCGTTTATTGAGAGATCCAATAATCTCGGGTGCTCGCAACTCGCCGGCTCGCGTAAAAACACGGGGCGGTCTCGCGCTAACTATACTTGGCGCGAAACACTACCGTGTCTCTTGAAATTATATTTTGTTGAAGAATAGTATAGTATAAATAAGATTTCAAATAAGTTACTACTTTTTATAAATCAACAATTTCATTAGGATAAAATAGTGTATTGTTTATTATGTTCCATATAATAACATTATTTTAAACGAGGTCATTTTAAAAAAAAAACATAAAACGTAATTTTTTTATAAATAATTGCTCGCTATATTTATTTCCTGATCCCAGTGTTTGAGAGACTCTGATGAAATGTTTGAGATTCTGTCGCTCTTTGACTATTCCCTTGCTATTCCCTTCTCTCGCCCTCTGGACAGGCTTTCATATATCCATGATAGTAAACAATGCCCCGATGTCTAGCCGAGTTTATGAACGGTTCACGTCTCATGTGTTATATTTGGCCATTTGCAGAAGCAAGAGCGGAGATAGTCGGCCCCGGAGAGAAATTTGTGAGGCCTGGTAGCACGTTGCAACTCCATTGCCTGGTAAAGAAGTCCACGGAAGTACCGTCATATCTTTTCTGGTATCACAACTTCCGTATGATTAATTACGACGTTGATCAAGGCGTGAACGTTAGCACTGATCTCGTTGGTCGGGAGAGCTGGTTGGAGGTGCCAAGAGCGTCGGATCGTCACTCGGGCAACTACACCTGCGAGGCTAGTAATGCCCAGCCTGCGCGCGTCTTGGTGCACGTTTTCAAGGGTGACAATCCGGCCGCCATGCAGCATAGCATGGCATCATCGCCATCAATGATGGCCTGCACCGCGTTACTCACCATGTTCGTCACGCTCAAGCTAGCTCTGCAGACGAACTGGAGTTTATGACGTGGATAAGTGCAAGACTCGCGAAAATCCGGAGTGTGTTAGCGAAATTGTGTAACATTATCGCATGATATCCATATTCATGCGAAGATGTGCTCTAGTTACAATCGCCGAAGTTAGAACGGCAACATGATTATGGTGGTTCCAATTAAAGATTCATCGTTGTTATCGGAATGGTTACCAGAACGTTTGAAGCTGCAAGATTGGCTGTGATTGATACTATTTATTCGACGATCAACTTTCCGCTCTACGCTGCCGGACAAAGTAGTACTGAAAGATCAGCTGTGATTATTTGTGTCATCGCGAGGCAAATATCTATCAATGTATGCTCATTTGATCGCATTTTTAAAAACGTACCAATAGATGGCCCACCCTGTAATATGCTAATACAAAACAGTATTTAATCCATTATGTATATGTACATCTAATCATAGAGTTCAGGAAGGAATATGCAACAATGTAATATGCTAATACAAAACAAGATAATATTATAACTATCATTGTGGGATTAGTAGTGATCTATCATCGTATGATCGATGGTTCGTGTACCGAAAATTTTTAATCAGGAAACAGTGTATCCAACAGAGACCAATATAATAAAAGTATAATGGTAGCACATCTTGTTTGCGCATGTATTTGAACGATTATTCGTCGGACGAAAGAAGTTGAATGCTAGCCTGGAATAAAGTGTCACCATAACTTTCATACGAGTCACATATTATTATATCATCCATTCTTCTGTCGACCGATCGCTTACATTCCGTGTCACATGTGGGAACGAGAAATATATTAGGTTGCAATGTAAAAGCGGAGGATATTATGAATGCAAGATTAACTCACACTAAGATTGTATTCACAATCGTCTATAACTCGCATGCTTGCAGTGGAAATAGACGGAAGACAGATTTGTCAATCCGAGTAATATGAAGAGTTCGACGTATCATTTTGATGAATCGGAACTTCTATGAGCCCGTGAATGTGAATGTGATATGTGAATGTGCGAGATTTATTTACCCGTTCGTATTTTGTGGAGCAACGTGATATGTATGTAATTTAGTGTTTAAATCGATAAAAAAATTATACATGTAACAGATACTCCATCATGCGTCCGTTCTATTTGTGACGCACAGGAAAGCAAGACCGATAGCCTGGATCAAAGCTGTCCGCGATGCATCAAATCGCGATGCATAAACAGCAACGATGGCCACGACGATGCATCAAGGCTCAGCTACATCTATCATAAGCTCCTTACGATAATCGTAACGCTCGTCGTAATAACTATCGTAAGTTCATCGTAAGAGTGGGCTCAACTTCAGCTCTCACGATTACGAACTTATCTGGCGATATAATAGCCAATGAGAATGCAGTTATTTGGCTCTAACATTCTGTTTCGCTATTAGCTTTGTTACGATCTTATGTAGACAGACAATGTTTACGGTAGTTTTTTTCCTTACGATCGTAGCGTTACGAGAGATGTACAGCTGGACCTTTAAAATAAAGAAACGACGATGATGTATTCGATGGGGCATTGTTAATTGCATGATACTATCACAGCTTCGTTCCAAGGTGTTGTAAATATGTTGCAGAAGAAATATGTGGTCTGTTTTCTGTTCCTGCATTAGACTGCGCTAGAACTCTCTTCTCATTTTTGACAAATATCAAACAAATACCTATCTCACTTTATGTTCCATAAAAGTGTGTATTAGTTCAGCCACAGAAAACAGACCTATCGTTTCGCAAATTAACGAAAGTAACGTCTTCTTACAGCCGGCCTAAAATACTTTATTGGTGAATTAACGATGATTAATAAAAGTCTGATGCAATATTATCTTCCTTCCGGAAGCTCTGGGTAACACTTTGATAAGTGGTAAACACGAGTGAAAGTAACGTCGAGACTAAACAAACTAAACTTGCTACTACGTGTTCTCTAGAAGAATATTCCTAGAAGGATTCTCTAGACGGAATGTGCGCGCGCGCATGCGACATTTATTACAATCCAGGATGCGAAATTATTATGCCAACGTTTTTTTTATTATTAAAAGTTTACGGAAACCCAGTACTAAAGAATATTAAACCGTTCGCATCGATAGGCAAAATGCGTTTTGCGTTTGTAAAGTCAGCTTATTAAATAAAAATATACCGTATTACATCAAAATATTTTTTTAACACAATTTTTGCTTATTATCTATAAATTTAAATATTTATTATAAAAAGATTTATTATTTAAAATGGACTGAAAGTATACATAGATTTATATACGCAAGAGCAATCATAAATTCGACGAATTCGCCTTTTAAGCGTCTTTTAAAGCATCGAAAATAAGGATGTTTATGGCTATTCGATAATAACGAACGTTTGATGTTCTTTGCAGCTCGATGTAAAAATATCGAATAAAAAATTATGAACAAAATATCGACTAGATATTTTTTAACTATTCATATTCTCTTATACACTCTTTTTATGAACATTCTTAATTTTTAAAACTTTCTTTTTGAAGGCCTATTCAGTCAAAACTTACATAGCCGTACAATACATATAAAATCGACCAATTAAATGTCTCATATAAATCGTAATATTGCATGATATTTGATTAATCAGAACAATTAAAGTAAATATATATCCTGATTGATATTTCATGCAATCTCAAGTTCTATTTACTTCTATTTCTCGAATGCACAAATGATACACATTAAGCCTTTCTAAGGATTAGGCGCGACTGACGAATTGTTTTGTATGTAATCAGGACTACAAGCAAACGGAACCTTCCCTACATAAAATATTAAGGATAGTTTTTTGTTTGTAAGCTTTATTACTAAAAAATTGGGACAGTATTATAATTTTATTTAGTTTTTGAAAAATTTATTCGTTATTCGATATATTTGATAATGCCTATTCATTCAAGATGAATATAAATAGCTATTAAACATCTAAATATATTCGTAGTCGATATTTTTGTTTGATATTGACAAGTCCAAATGATGCGATCGGTTTAAGTTATGGTTATCGGTTTAACGTTATGCATATACGTAATTAACGGTAATATAAGGAACGCAATGTTATTCTTATTTTAGTTTCTACTACTTAATTAAGTGCGACATGCGCTCAGTATATATCTTAAGCCCTAAACAAAATACGAGACAACAGCGATAAAAACAGCGATAGGGATAGATATAGAATTCCAATTCGTCAGAAATTTTATCGCTATTGCCTATTCTGTGTTTCAATCTGCACTGACACATGCATTCCCGTACGTTGGATTCATCTGTTTCTATCGCTATGCTTATTATTATTGCCTATGTTATTTCTATCGCTGTTGCCTCGCATTGTATTTAGGGTTTAGGGCTTTACTGTCTCGTTCAATATTCAAAAAAATATAAGATTTTCTTTTGTTTGAATGCACAGGAAACTTCTCAATCAAACAAACGGAATCCATACGTACTACCGAGCGATCTATTTAAAGGGATGATGAAGTAACGCCCAAACTTGACCGATATCGATAATACAGACTTTTAATTCTAAATTTTAAATGCCGATAATAGTGACATCTTCTTTTTGTGAGATCTTTAATTTATTTTTTATATTATCATTCTGTCTCAGTCAAACGCATACATCTATCCTTACCTAACATATTACAATGTCATCATTTACAAGATCCGGCATCTATTACGAGACACAATTACTGCATTGTTTAGCATTCTGAGTTTTCGATAAACATACATATATGTGTATATATAAATATATATATACATGTAATTTGCAAATTAATATAAATTTTTTTTAGTCTTCAATCTTAGCTTCATAAACTCAGTATTATTCGTTCATATAATTCGGGTGGTGCAATGTTATTTTGTCCATACGAATTATAGAATTTTTCTATTAAGTAAATAAACGTTTATATCAGTGATAGTTCTATGAGTTGAAAAATATGAGTTACCTTTTTTTTCGATTTTAATATAAAGGCCACTTCCTAATTTTGTGACTACTTCAATTCTGTAAAAGAATTTTTGATTCCATTCAGTCAATTCGAAGGTTTCTATGTGGCTATAATATATCAATAGTTTCGTCACTCCAACATCCCTTTAACAATATGACTGATGCTATGTGGAAGAGTACGGTGCGTGTGATTTCCCGAAATCAATAACTATTTAATTGATCTCTCTACGGATGCCATGATTGACAACGTTATTTTCAAACCGCTACACTATTACTTCGCATAATTTTCCATGATGCAATCTTATGCGAACCAGAAACCGCTAACCTTGTATATGTGCACCTTCAATCGAAAGTGGAAGCAATGGCGATAACCCTTCACCCTGCACGTGAGACACTGACACTGACAAATTACGGAGTTTAGAACTTGATAATCTTGATTATCATCCTCATCACACTGCCATCGTCGATGCAAGTGATGAGAAATTGTAAAGACGAAAGGTCGCGCGAACAAACCAGAAGAGCCGACAAAGTTGCAAAGTATATATTGCGTGTTTTCGAAAGTTCGTTCTAAAGTTGACGTTAAACTGCAGACTGCTGGAATCACCGGATTTAATGCACAGCATCCACCCGGAAGTTAGCACAACGCGAACGAACTTACGCCGACTATCGTTGAAGAAAAAGAATTAATTAACTGACTTTACTAACTTTCTTGGCGCTGCGTGTTTTGGGGGATACGTTTATTGTCAAGAATGTAACGGATAGTAATAAGTTTCGGACTCCGTATATGTTTCATTTTGATATTATTATCAGTATAACTTTTATACGTTTTAAGCAGAAATCATTTTCCAAGCACCATTTTTTTTATTGCAAATTGCAATTTAAATATCTTTAAGATAAAATATTACCAAGGAAAATTGAGAAAAGACAGATCTAATAAAGAATCTCATAAAGCTGCAGAAATTTATAAAATTAATGAGTGTATACGTAAATTATATGATATAAAAAAATGATTTTCCGATATTGTTAAAAAATTTATTACACAAGTTTCTATTTTAATCACTAGGAATATAGATATCAATCGATCTATCCGAAATATTCATAGTGCGTATACATTAATAAGCGTATATGATCTTCAATAACGCTGCAATTTCCCCTTGGTCGGACTCGACTTCAGCAAATTCAAGCCACAGCCGAATGTAAGCGACTCTCGCAGAGAATAATCTTGTATATTCGGTCTACGTAACCGGCGCACATAATTAATCGCGATAATCCTGGTGTGATGCAGCACAGCCTAACGATATTATCCTCCGTCGCTGCACTGCTGACCTTGTTTATAACGTCGAAATTAGTTATACCCAACATTCGCGAGAGATCGTATTT